TTTGGGGTTTCCGGTTTAGGGTTTGGGGTATAGGGTTTGGGGGGGTTGAAGGTTCAGAGCTTCCCTTTGAAGGGAGCTTGTAAGAATTCCAGAAAGGATTCGAAGTTCAGGGCCTCCAGCCTAAAAGAATCCTTTAAGGATTCTGTAAGTGTAAGGGTTCTTTAAGTGTTTAGGGTCTACGGGGTGTCGGGGCTTAGGGTTTCGGGCTCAGGGCGCAGGGGTCTTGAGTTTGTTTGGTCATCCGAGCCCAAACCCTGAAGCCCTATAAAGTCGCAAAAAACTCCATAGAGCTCTAAATCCGTAAGGGTTTAGGGTTTAGGGTTAGGTAATTCTCTTGTGCCTGATTCAAAGCTCGCACAATGCGGCTCTTGAGGAACAAGAGTCCCGAGTGCACACAATCGCTTCGCAGCAGGCGAAAGGTCAAGCGGGCGGCCCTTGCGAGCAAGCCGCCTTGCTCGGCTTGCCTTCCATCGATCTACAAGTTTGCCTTGAAGTTCTTTGGAGGGAAGTCGGGGCACCTCTTGCTGGGCACCGCGAGGTTTTTGAGCGCCAGTGGCTACGCGACTGCGCTGGGAGCTGGCTTTGGGGAACAGCTGGTCTACGAGACTGCGAACCTATAGCCCAACCCCTCAAAATCCCGAAGCTCAACGTCACAACAGAGCCTGAAAAGCTAAAGTCTCAAATCCTAGGAGTTCTAGGCGGGTTGCGGTTGCCCTCAGGCTTGAAAGAGCCCTAAACCCTCAACCCTGGATCCTCAACCCTTAACCCTACACTAAACCACAAAGCCCCAAACCTACAACGAAGCCAAGAAGGCTCGAGACTCAGGTTCATCGTGGTTTATAGGGTTTGCGCGGCCTTCCATACTCTTCCAATGAGGGCTTATTCGGGTTCTATAAAGATTTCTGTATTAATGGTTTAGGCTTTAGTGGTGTCTGGATTCCGAAAGAGTCAAGAGCTTGTATGTTGCCTGAAATGTTCATCTGCCTGCCACGAGACTGCACGGGTCCGAACCCTAAGCCCTAAACCGCTTATGACTTGTATGGGGAGGTTCGGGGTAGTGCAATCTTTGGGGTAGCTACAACTTGTGCAAGCGTGTCAGAGGTTTGTAGGATCATGGGCAAGTGCATGGTGGAGTTACGTTCAAAACCGTAGCTTCCATACTTGTGTGAAAAGTTTGTCAGTGTACGGTTTGGGCTTTGAGGAGCCCTGAGTGCGTAAGGCTACGGAAAAGTTGACTTCTTCACTTAGAGTCTAGAGTTAGTTCATGTTTAGGGTTTGCAACCTATCTCCCGGAGGTGCAGCGCTACTCTCGGTTGGCGGCAGAGGCCTGCCGCAGTTGTCCATACTTGGCGCCAGACATTTCAACCCGTGCTGCGGACATTGAGGGTTGTGGTTGCCAATCCTCTGCATGGGACGCGATGACTAGTGCAAACACACATACATGTGTATTTGAGTTCGTTTGGATCTGTTGGTTTTATGCATTGATCCAGACACGATTGGATAGGTTCTACGCCTTTAAACATGAGCTTGTAGGTGTCTCGATTTACCCTACAGCGATGCGCATGTATGTGTCTAGCATTACTCTCCATGGGCCTGCCATTCTACCATCTAATGTTTCAAGCAGTCTGCTTGCCGATCTCTGAACGTAGATGTTTTGTTTTGCTTCTTCGTGTACATGAGCTCGCATAATCAACAATGTTGAAACCGTAAGGCGAAACTTCAAGCTCTCTTCATCGCTTCTGGAACCCCGTTTTTAAATTCTGAGCCCAAACCCTAAACCCTAAATTCAAAATTCCGAGCCCCCTACAAACACCTCAGCCACAAACCGAAGATCGCTGAGGCATTCTCAAGGTACGATACTCGAGCATAATATGGGTAGTTCTCTAATTAGGGTCCTTTTTGGGATCCTTTTTATAAGGGTGCCGCATTATATTGGGGACCCAATGAGGGACCAGTTTAGAGAACTACTCATATGTGGGTTTCCGAAATAGGGGACCCTAATATCGCACCCCAAATAGTAGGATCCTTATGATAAGGACCCCATAATGAGGTACCCTAATCTTCGGAAACTCCCATATTAACTAGTGCGAAACTGTAGGTTTCGGCTTGAACCCTTGGCCTCGACCCTATGCCCCAACCCCCAAACGGTTCCCCAACAGATCTGAAGCCTTCGTGTTTAATGAGTTTAATGTGGCTTTAATCATTATAGTACTGTTTTGGTGGGGTATGCCTAAACCCTAAGCCCCTAAACCCCTAAACCCCAAACTCTAATTCCCTAAACCCCTAAACCCTAAACCCCTACACCCTAAACCTAGACCCCTAAGTCCCTAAACCCCCAAACCCCAAACTCTAATTCCCTAAACCCCTAAACCCTAAACCCCTACACCCTAAACCAAGACCCCTAAGCCCCTAAACCCCTAAACCTACGATACTGGAGACTATCAGGGAACGGGGGATCCGAGGTTCAGGCTTTGGGGCTGAAGGGTGAAGGGGAGAGTTAGAAGGATCAAGGGTTGGGCTTTTCTTGGGGTTTACCTGCATCTCCGTTAGAGGCCAATTTATCAGACATGGCTGAAACCTGA